AACTATTTAATTATATTATGGATGAGGTTGGATTTTAGGGAATGTTAGAAGGAAAGATCAATGAGATGAAGGTGGGGAAAAAAAGGAGTATCGAAAGCTTATTAAAGGAATCAAAGGAGGTGATAAAAAGCTGGTAAAAAAACAACCGTTTGCAATTACCGAAATTCATTTGAGAATTTGGATAAGTCAATTTCTGTTCGAGAAGCAGAAGTTCAAAGTGGGAATCCAAAGGTTTCGATGGAGGGCATTGTAAGAGATAAGAGAGAACTTTGGTCTTTGTACAAAAAGATGAACTTATTTGGTTTCAAAAATCGAGGGCAATTTGGATACGAGATGGTGATCGAAACACAAAATTTTTCCACCAGTGTGCATCGAACTGAGGTAGAGTTAATTCTTTAAAGTAGCTAGAAGTGGATGGTACTCAGACTTTGGATCCAAATTTAATAAAATCCCATATCTTTCTTTAGTTCAAGAAAGCATATAATTGTTAGTCTACTTTGGAGGTGGAGTATTTGGAACTTAATTTCAGAAGACTTTCCGAGGAGCAAAGAGATGGTTTGGAAAGGAATTTTTCGGAAGATGAAATTTGGGAGGCAATCGCCACTTCGGATAGTTATAAGGCTCCAGGGCCGGATGGGTTGAATATGGGATTCTTTAAGAGATTTTGGCCGATTTTGAAAGATGAAATTATGGAGTTTTTTAAGGGGTTCTATAAGGGGAAGAAACTTAGCAAAGGCGTGAATCACTCTTTTATTACGTTAATTCCGAAGAAACCGAACCCTGTTGGAATAGAGGATTATAGGCCTATTATTTTGGTAGGGGGTTTGTACAAGATTCTGTCTAAAGTTCTTTCAAAAAGATTAAGGTTGTACATAGACATGTTGATTGGCCATTCACAGCTTGCATTCATCCCTGGTAGACAAATTTGTGATTGTTCCTTCATTGCTAATGAAGGCATTGCTATTGGAGGAGGAAAGGGAGGAAAGGTTTAGTGTTCAAAGTGGATTTTAGTAAAGCCTATGATACTTTGGATTGGGAGATCTTACCAAAATTATGGAGTACATGGGGTTTGGTCAGAGATGGCGGTCTTGGGTTCTAGAGTGTTTATCTTCAACTTCCATTTCAGTTTTAGTGAATGGCTCTCCCACAGAAAATTTTAAAGTTTCACGGGTTTACGCCAAGGGTGTTCATTATCATCGCTTTTGTTCAATTTAGGGGCTAAATTTCTTAATCTGTTGCTTTCTAAAGCAGTTGAGTTAGAGTTGTTTAATGGTTTTCAGATTCGATGTGACAATAATTCTTTCTCACTATCTCATTTGCAATCTGCTGATGATTTGATATTTTTTTGCAAAGCTTTAGAAGCTCAATTGAAGAACTTAAAGAGAATTTTGGTTATCTTTGAATTGTGCACTGGTTTGAAGTTGAATCTTTCGAAGAGTTAGATTTATGGAATAAATGTGGATGATCATATGGTCAAAGAGTGGGCAAGCTCTATTGGGTGTAGTTTTGGCGTCTTTCCGACGGAGTATCTGGGGCTTCCTTTGGGTGCAAGTAGAAATTCGGTTACCCTTTGGGAACCAATTGTCAAGAACTTTTTTCACAAGCTGGTTGGGTGGAAAACAGGAACCTTATCCCTTGCGAGAAGGATTATTCTAATTAAATCAATCTTGAATTCGCTACCAAACTATTATATATCCTTATTCAAAATGTTGGTTGGAGTTCGGAGAAAGTTGGAAGCTCTAATGGCAAATTTTTGTGGGGTTGTACTGCTCAGAAAAATCAGAGATACACTGGGTGAAATGGTCGACAGTTTGTAAAAAGAAAGATTTTGTGGGTTTGGGTATCACCGATTTTAATTTGAGGAATAGGGCTCTTTTGGGAAAATGGGTGTGTAAGTTTAGTAGTGAGAAGGAGTCTTGATGGAAGAGGTTGGTTTGTTGTAAGTATAATTTAGATAGATCTATTGCGATGGACAATTATACATCGTCCCTTGCATCTTGGCTTTGGAAAGGAGTCATTAACAACTATCGGTCGAATGATGCTTTTGGTTTGTGTTTTCGTAATCATCTTATTTTACAAGTGGGGAAGGGAGAATCAATTTTGTTTTGGCATGATAGTTGGTTATGTAATTCACCGTTGAAGTCTAAATATCCAAGGTTGTTCTCTTTGTCAGTCAAAAAGGATGGGGTAATTGCGAACTACGGAAGTTTTAGCAATGGGAGGTGGGTTTGGGACATTCAATTGAGAAGAAATTTGATGGAGAGTGAGTTAGCTTTATGGTATGAATTGTTTCTTCAGCTGGAAAATGTTCGTATGGACTCGGAGGTGGATGATTGCTACACTTGGAAGGGTAACGGGGAAGGTATTTATTCGTTTAAATCTTGTACTAATTTAATCTCTACCTTGTCAACTCTGGAGTTGTGTTGGTCTAAGATAGTTTGGACTGGTTTAATGCCTCCAAAAATAGAGGTTTATTTGGCAGGTTCTCCACCAGAAGTTGTCAGTTAAAACTGCCTTATTGAGGCGGGGTATTAGAGGTATTGAGGATTCTTCCTGTTTGGTTTGTGGTGAGGATACTGAGTCAGTGAGCCATTTGTTCTTTGAATGTAAAGTTGTTTGGGGGATTTGGGTGAGGTTTATTCCAATGTGGAATTTATATTCTGTTTTACCTAATACTCCCGGAAGTCTTCTGTTTTTCTGGTCGGATTTAGTTCCTCATTCGAAAATTTGGAAATTTGTGTCTGGTGTTGTTTTGTGGACTGTGTGGAAATGTAGAAATGAAATTGTGTTCGAGAAGGGTAGTTTGGATAAAGTTAAGCTCTTTTTTTTGGTTAGGTATAGGGTGGCTTCATGGTTCTTGGCTAAGTATTCTAATATTTCTATCCCTCTGGATTACCTAGTAGGAGACTTAACTTTGGCTGATCAACATCGTATTCTTTCGAGGTCTGTTTTGTCCGAGTTTAAGTGGTGTCCCCCACCCCTGGGTTTCTTAAAACTTAATGTTGATGGGGCTGTTAATTTTGACTGGAGATGCAGTGGTATTGGTGGTGTGCTAAGAGATGTTGATTGTAAAAGGTTGGAGTTTTTCTCAAGATCGACTGGACCAAGCCCCCCGATCCTTGCTGAGTTAAAAATAATTCATGTTGGGTTAGATTTGTTTTTGAAATTGGTTTGGAGGGATAAAGGAAGTCTAATTCTAGAGAGTGATTCTTACAATGTGTTAAAGTGGATTTCCAATCCGGAGACATGTTCAGATCTTTATGTGCAAGTGGTTAGAGTTATAGCCAAGTTTGTTAGTCAGTTCAATGTAACTACTAGGCTTGTTAAGAGCTGTATAAATGTGGAAGCTGATCGTTTAGCTAAATCAGGCATAGGATAGCACAAGGGCTTGTGTTTTGTTTGTATTTGGTGGTTGTCTTTGGGGTTGGTTTAAAGGGGTTTTATGTTATATTTTATGTTTTGAACTAGTTGTATCTATTGCTATAGTAATAAATCTTTGGGCACTCTTTTCCTCGTTCCTATGATCATTGAGTTTCTAGGAGCTTAATGGTTATGAAGGGGGTTTTTAATGAGGCCCTATTTCTATAAAAAAAAATAAGCATTTCATATTTTCAATTCATGCACAAGATTAGTGTTTTTTATTTGTAATTCATTTCTGCTCAAACACAGATTAGGGAAAGGGGGATACAATAGGTATGATAATGTTAGAAAGTATTTTAGGCTTTTAACATGACGTAGGAGCCATTAATGATTTTATAATATTTTATTATTTCAGATTTATTTAATAAGTTCTAGATATGTTATGGACAGCTAGGGTTATTAGTTATTTTTAGGGTTTAAATCTAGGCATATAAGTAAAGCTTTACTTGCAAGAAAGCCTAAAAACTTTACTTGCAAGAAAGCCTAAAAACTTTACTTGCAAGAAGAAAGCCTATACAAATAAGTTGTAGGCTTTGCAGCCACAACATTCTCTTCGAATTCTTATCTTTGAATAAATAAAGAAAAATTATAGATTTTCTATAACCCTAATATGTTTGGAAGAAGTATCGTTTATTTATAATGTTTGTGCACATTTTAGTACATGAGTTAGCAATAAATTAACTTTGTAATTTTTAGCCACTCACATGGCTTCGTTTGGATAAACTGAAGGAATAAATATAGCTTATTTTAAATAGGTATTATTTTTTTACTTGAGTTTTTACTTATCGTTCTAATATCAAGTTCAGATTTGTATAATTCTTCTTTATGTTTTAACAAACTATTTTCAAACTCATGTAACCAAGTTTTGTTCCTTGTGTTATTACTTGTTTACCAAACATTAGCATAAGTTTTCTTAGGTTCCATCATTCCTGTTGGATTTTCAGTCAAAATTCTTTTACTGTTGATTTTCTATAACCCCAACTCCCTAAGCTTCAAGGAAGAGAAAATCAGCGTCATGAACGGAATTGGTTGCATTTCAACGGGCAGCTGAAGAATTGTCACATGCAATCTATGATTGACTGCAACGGGAACACGCCTAGGGCTATAAATAAAGCTTTATTTGCAAGAAAACCTGGTAACTTTACTTGCAAGAAATAAAGCCTATATAAATAAGTCGAAGGCTTTACGGCCAACATATCTATCTCATTATTATCTTTAATTTCCATCTTCTTTCCTATTCATTTTTCAGTCAGAATTTGTTTTTCAGGAGTGAATCTTGTTCCAAGCTGGTCAATTTATCACAAACATGTTTGTAGAGACATTCTATTTCAAACAAGTGATTCTTATAAAGCCTGTCATGCTGCATTTTCAACTTCCTTATAACTTAGTGTTGTTTCCGACATAATACACCCTTGCTTTGGTCTACGGAAGCAGTACAAACTAGTATCAAGATATACACATACAACATACTAAAATAATAAAGTAGATCAAGCCTATGCAATATGCATATGTTCATGACACCAATCCATAGTAATAGAATGAAACATCATATATGATTCAAACGACACTCAGTAGCATACCTTGATGGTTGCAACTAGGCCCAACCTGAAACATAAAAACTATCCAAATAAATGACGGTAAATAGTATACTAATATCACTCAAGCATAAAGTTTCACTTGAAGAGAATGGGTACGGGAAGTGAATAGTAATGCAAATATTAAACCTAAAAAGAACAGAATGGTACTTGAAAGCCAGTATAAAAACTGTTTGTAAATTAATCACATATATTTCTAAAGAAAAATCCAATCCTAATAATTAGTTGGATTGTATCAAGCCAAACTCAACATCCTAACATTCAGTCGGATCACATTAAGCCAGACTCAACAGAGAACATCACATTTGTCTAATTCGTACAATTAGATGCCAGTCTGATTCTGCTTAAGAAAAATAAATGAAAAGACATAACACTTTCCAATTATACCAGTCTAATTCAAATATTTCTCAGTATGAACAACAGAACAAGTAAGAGACACAACAATTGCATCAAGATTGTTTTAACCAACAAATCAAAATCCCTTAAAATGTATAGGGCTCTAGGCATTTGCACTCATTTATCTTTTGAAGCAATGGACAAACTGAACTAACCTAACTCATTTAGTTCAATAAAAACATAAACAATTCACCCAAGATCCATAACCCTATCATTCAGTTTTCTCCCATGATTTTCCCACAAATTCTGAGCAGCCAAACAACCTTCATAATACCAACCTAAAACAAAATCCAAAAACCCAACAATAAAAATCAAATACCTGTCAGACATGGTAGCAATGGTCTTAAAAGCAACAATCAACCCCCGATCCGGATTCGACCCACGGTTCTGCCACCGGCCCAAGGAAGACGAGAGGAACTCGCCAGAAACACCGTTAGGCTTAGCGATTACAGTGGATAAACCGCCATCCGCCAAAAGCGGGTTGGTGGGGCCACCAACACGGACAGGATCGTTATCGCCCGACTCGTTTGCGAAAGTTCTCCACTCCGACGTCTCGTCGATCGAGTGTGACTCTAAAACTAACCCGCACTCCGAACACACCGTGTCGCCGGCCGTGTGGTCGAAGACCACCTCCGTCTGCCGCTTGCAGTCCGAACAATAAACGTCCCCCATTCCCGGAGCACTAACCCTTTCTTTCTAGGCTTCTTTCTCGTGGTTTTCGTCTTAAAATTGTTTAAAGATGTAAATATAAGAGTCTGTTAGGTTAAATTATTAATTTATAGTATTTGCATTTTATTTATTCAGTGCCCCTTTTTACTCTTCCGGGATATCTAGGAAAATATTTGCTTCGGAAAGATACAAACGAGAGTTACAAGTGAATTACAGAACTTTTAATTTTTTCTAATTTGTTCACTGAACTTTACAGATTAAATTATTTTGCTTACTCTATCATTAACATTTTAACGGCGTTATGACGTGGCATAAGAATCAAAACAACACCATTTTGAAAAACTCAAATATACTGTAAACTATGTTATTTTGGTGAGTAAAATATGAGATAGAGTAAATTTTAATAGTTCATGGTGTAATTTACCTTTTTTCCTAATAACTCATGGTGTAATTTACCATTTTCCCCTCTCTTCTCTATTTTCTCTCTATCGGCAACCATGTCATTTTCATTCTGGCCAGCGTCGACCACCGTAGATGGTGGTCATTTAATCCCAAAATGGGATGGTCAGTTTGTATCAACCCCTGAGTCCAGATCTAGTGTTTGTTTCACTGGAAAATATCCCAAAACCCATGAATTTGGACTAAAACGTTTTGGTTTCCTCACTTTCAATCTCAAATTCGTGGATTTCAAAGAAACTTCTGATAAAATGGAGGTCGGATTCAAACTCACGACGTCGAGGCGAAGTGACCCATCCCATTTTGTGACCAAACGACCACCATCTACAACAGTCAACGATGGTCAATGGTGGCATCCAGCCACATTCTATTTTTATTTTATTTTTTAATTATTTTATATTAAATTATAATAATAATAATAAAATGCCACGTTGGATAGAAAACGGGGAGTGAGCAAAATGATTCAATTTGTAAAGTTTAGTGAATTAATTAGAAAAATTGAAAGTTCAATGAAAAAAATATGAGAGATAATAAAGTAGAGTGAGCAACGGTATAATTTAGCCTTTTTTATAAATAAGGGTAAAGTAAATATCACTCAATTTTATTACTTGAACTTCTCAAATTTTAAATTTTATCACTAAGTCTTTTAATTGTAAAATTTAGGTGATGGTTTATCTTATAATTAAGGGTAAACTATATATTTATTTAAGGGTGTTCAAAGTTCGGTTTTAGCCAATTTAACTGATCAAATTGAAGATTTTTTCGGTTAATCGGCCATTTAATTTTAGGTTCGATTATTTAACTGATAATAATTTTTTTGAACTTCGTTTATCGGTTAATTCAATTTAAAATAGGTTAATTAACCAAATTAATTGAATTAACTGAAATTATTAAATATTTAATATATTGTATATTATTTATATAGTACTTAGTATGCAGAATGTTTAAACTTCGGTTTTAACCGAATTAATCAGTTTTTGTTTAGGTCAGTTAATTATTTTCGAAATAATTTTAGTCCATTTAACATTTAATGGGGAGAAAATCGATTAATGAATTTTTAGAAGTTTGGTTCGATCGGTTAACCGAACCGACTGATTGGACACCCATATATTTAGGATCACAATTATCACTTTTGTTCCATTTTGGCCATCCAACTATTTTTTTTTAAAATAGTATATAACGTTACGTTTTGGTTTTAGTTTGGTTACCTACTATTAAAAAATTAATAAAATTATCGACATGATATTTTTATTTTTTTTAATGATGACATGAAATTACCTTACGGTAACACATCAACACCATCGTTAGTTTTAACGATGATAGATAAAAATAAAATAAAAACTAAATTTTAGATATATGATTTTAAAAAAGGCATAATGATAGAAATACTCTTTTTTTTAAATAATATGGGGTAAATACAAGGGATAGTATATGTTCGAAGATAACTCTCAACCTTTCAACAATTACTTTATGGTGCTCGAACCCGAGTCCTCAAGAATAACAACAATTACTTTACCACAGAGGTCACTTGGTTCGTATAATAGAAATAGTCATAACTTTTGCACAAAAGATCATTTTGCCACATATTCTTTTTTTAGGAGCATTTTACCCTTCAATAAATTTTTGATCAAAATAAACCCTATTAGATGAAAATCCTTAGTTAACTAACTATCAATCCATGAACAAATGATTTATGCATCATTCAAATCATTAAAAGAGAACAACAACAAACACAAAAACTTAATGTGAGTTTAATGACTATATAAACCTTCATGGTTTGTGAGGTAATTAATGTGAGTTTAATGAATATAGAAATCTTGATTCTTTTCCAATTTCTACTCTATTGATATGGATTCACCTCCACCACCAATGGTTGATTTAGAAATTTAAGAATAGGAGTCTAAAATTTTAATTTTCTTTTCTTAAAAATAATGGGTAAGCAAAAAATGTTATTCTTTCCATTTTTCTTTAACATATTATACTAAATTTCACTTTTTTCTCCTAAATAATGGGGATGCACTTAGCCCCTAGGGGGCTTAGTGCATCCACCCATGTCCACCAAATGGCATGCTTGTGTTTAAGTCACCAAACGACATGCGTATCTAATTTTATTGTACTAAAAAACCTATTTTATCGATTTTATTTTTATCAGAATTGAACTTTTATAAGGGGAAAGGAAAAGAATTACAACAAAAATGGACCAATGGAAATAAAATAAACAAGGTTCAAGGATAAAAGGTGACAAATATCTTAAATTAAATAAAATAATAGAACAGCGGAAAAAAATCAAAGATGATAATTAATCGAAACATGTAAGGGTTTTACTAGAAGTGTAAAAAATGATATTAGTAGAGTTTCGTGGGAGAAGGCTTTCCTTGATCAATGGGGGAGGTCTTAATCACCAATGGACCCATGAAGGAAGGTACTTCATTTTTTTTTTCAGAAAGGCAATCTAGTCCTCATTTTATTGGGCCTTATCAGATCATTCGTCATGTAAGACCAGGTGCATATCGGCTTGAGTTACCACCCAAGGTTATTTGTATTCATGATGTGATCCATGTTTCCATGTTGAGACATTATAGAGCCAACCAAACTCATGTAATAGTTGTGGATAAGGTAGAGATTCAACCCAATCTAAGTGAAGATAAGCTAGTTTAGATTCTCGAGAAGAATGTGAATGTTCTTAAGAGGAAGACCATTAAAATGGTCAAGGTCTTGTGAAGTAGCTGGGTTATCATGAGTCCACATGGGAGACTGATGTCGTCATGAAGGGTCAATATCAATATATTTTTCCTCTATTTTAAGGTCGAAATTTTTTAAGGGGAGAATTATATCACCCCCCAAATTAGCCCTAAATTAGAATCCCTGGGATTTGAGATTTTCCCCCTAAATTCCTAATCCGATTTTGCTAACCAAATTGAAAAAAATGGTAAACTTGCATCTCATTTTGTAAACCCTAGGAAATTCAAGGAACAACTCTATAATTTGACTAATTTAATTAGAGTTGAACCCTAATTCCATTTTATAACACAAACATGGATATAATCCCATGTAGAATGATCGAAATGCACCATATAGAGTCTAAAAGTGATGTAGTATTAATCAGAAATCAGCCAAAACTTAGGAACACTTAACCATAATAGATATGCGTATAGATAATATCATGCAGCATAACAACATATAATATTACATGTATTAAATAGGTCAAGGGTGTAACGCTCCAAATTTCAAGTTAGGAGTTTTGAGTTTATTCGAATGGACCTTAGTATAAATTCTCCTTGACTTTTATGTAGTGTGACCCAAGAAGACTTGATTTGGGCTTAAGATGAGCCCAATAAAAATTAAAAAGGGCATTTTTAATCTTGACCCAAATGTAGAGGAACTAGAGGAATAATTACCCCATTTTTCAAAACTAAAATTGAATACCAATTAATTGATAATATCATGACCGTTGCTTCCCATCTTTTTTTCTTCACCATGCTTGTCTTATTCCTCTCTTCTTTCTCATCTTTTTCCCTTTGAAGTCAAGCTAAAGGTTGGAGCTTTAAGAATCCTGAGCCTCCTTTAAGATTTACAAGGTAAGAGCTATGAACTACTCCTTCCAAGCTTAAATTCTCCTTCTAAGCTTCAATTTAAGCCCTAATTACAAATTTTTGTTGAGTTAGCAAAAAAGTAGGTTTAAGTGGGGTTTAGGAAACCTTAGAGTTACAATCTATTTTGGGGAGTTTTGTGTTATATAAATAGTTTCTAGTACTCCATTAAGTTTTAAAATGAGTTAACAACTCATTTTTTTATTAGTGCAAGAGAATGGTGAGAGCTCTAAGGTAAGGGGTAAAGAGAAGTTAACTCTTGGATGATTCAAGAACATTTTTCAGCAACCTAAGTTCAAGGAAACACGATTATAAGTTGTCCATATCACATGTAGATCATTAAATATACTTGAATTATTTGTTTTGCTCATAAAAGCATGCTAGGGTAAATTCATGGTAAATTTCCAATTAAGTGTTTGTAAGCATGAAAGATGACTCTTTTTGACCTCTAAGACTTCAAATAAGACTTTAATAGCCTTTTTTAATATTAGGGGAGTGAATAGGTGAGATTTAGATGTAATTTCGTGCCAAAAATAGGGCACTCTAGTCTGTCGGTATAGGTACTATAAGAACAGTACCAATATTGTTCTTCGTATAGGGTAAAAACAAGGCAATTTGTGAAGGAAATATTGATACTCTTTATAGGGGTATCGTAATCGGTTGTAACACCCCATACCCAGTTCGTAAGTCAAACTCGAATACCTAAGCGTACATTAAGTTCTAATCGTTTCGGACGTATAAGGATCCACATTACACACATTTTGCGCAAGCAAACAATTAAAAAATTTTAACATTCATCAATATATGACGTTCAATGTAATTAACCTGCAATCGAATTTTCAATTAAACATCATGCAAATATTACATTTAAACGCCTAAGGGTAATTTAGTCATTTCATGTCATATAATGAATCAAAAGTCAATTCACCCAATTAAGGTTACCAAAAGTTAAACATAATCACTACATCAAAATGGGTTTATAGCGGCGGCGTTTTTAGAACAAACGCCGCT